TCCTGGGAGGGTGGTAATGAAAATATCCTTCCTCCTTACTGGAACACTTGTTAATTATCTATTGTGTCTTCACATTACAGACAAAGCAGACTAACACTTCCCATCCTCAACAATCACTTAAAGGGAATCCAACGTTTTCTTATGCAGTTTGTGAACTATTTTCTCTCTTATCTAGTTGTGATCAGAAACAGGATTTTGCCAATCTCCTTAATGGTCAGTGTCAAAAAGAACATTTCCTGAGAATGTGAAGGCAGAGAAAAGTCTTCTTGAGTTTAGGTATCTGAGGATGGGTAATGACAAATCACCCGGTTTGCAAATGTGAGCTGGCACTAAGATCTGATGAAGAAAAAAAGGGCTTTGCTCTCATCAAAAATATTTTTCATTTTAAGTTATTTACTAAAAGAAGAAAGACCAAGTGTTTGATCCCATTGTTGTAGTCATTGTGATCAACTTCATTAAAACAAGCACTTGAGAGCCTTTTTAAAACATAGAACTTCACTGCAAGAGCAGACACTGGGGAAATAAAAGGAGAAGTACATTAAACCACATCACAAGTTATCCTGCTGATGAGGCTTCCTGGCAAAAAAAAATAAAAAATTCTTATCTCCTGCTCTGAACTGTCTGTTGTAAATCCTGCCCTGTGGGCTGCAGACACAGAAAAATCTGTGGGTTGCTGGGCTCACACCTGCCTCTCTGAAGCTGTGCTTGAAGGGATCTCTCTGCTGTCTGATACAATCTCCCTCACATTTTATCTGATGAGCTGTTGCTCTCAGTGCCTTACAGCTGACAATTCTTCCCAACTGTCCTCAAAGAACATTAAAAGGGATTTGTGACTGGCTTAGATACTCATTTTGTTTAGTAGTTATTCCCAACATAAACCAGTTTAATCAAAGCTGTCAAATCCAGCAGAGGAAGTACAGGCCCTTTACCAGTTATAAAACTCCCCTGGATTTCTGGGCTACAAGACCCCACTTTTAGAGCCATCTCACCAATCCTGAGGTCCAGGTTGGGCCATACAATATTTGTGTAGTTCCCTTGGCTACTTTGGGATGAGCAGCTGATGCGTGGAGGCCAGATTCCATTCCACAATCTTTGCATTTTGTTACTGTTTGTATCTCTCCCAAGTCCTCATTTTACTTTCTGTTTTTACTGTGATCCACCGTTCTACAAGCAGATTGTGTGAAGGAAAACCAACCTGATGCTGCATGTTTTGCATTACAGCCTTGGAACTTCTCAGCTTATGTGGCCATGTCTAATGGCAGCTGATCTTAAAGAGATTTATACTGACAAAATGAAGACTTTGGAAGACTTAAATTTAATCTGACAGGTACAAGTAGGATTAAAATGCCCCATCTATCTGGCAGCAGAGGCACAAACGTTCTCTAACATGAAATTTAGTCTCGCTCTATGCACAGCAACCAAATTAAGCAATGCATTTTGGCACAGAAATGGGTAAACTATGATTGTCTTTTACTACACAACTCACCAGGCAGATTTTTGCAATGCCTGTGCACTAAGCAATAACTAAGAAATTACACACACAAAGGCAATGACTCCAGACTCTCCAGAGTCCCTGCACTGTTTGAATCACATTCCCATTTGCACTACAGACACCCAGCACACAGGGGACCTAGTTTCTCACAGGAGAGGAGCAGGCTAACAGCAGTCTCCACACCAAGAGCACTTTATGTGTAATTAAATTTAAGTATCTTAAATAATAAAAATACAACATGTTAACATAATGGATGAATATATATATATCCATTCACATAACGTTCATTTTCACTCCAGGCGGCCGTTTAAACAAAGATATTTAAGCACATAATTTAATCCTAACTACCTTTTCATTGGTCTCCTTGCCTGCTTCAAACTGAAGCTGCCAATCAAAGGAGTCTGAAGAGGAACTACATCTGTGCACAATGTTCTTTTCGCACATGAAACCACAATGAAGTCACTGAGGCCTCTGTCGTAAAAGTCTGTTTCTATGGAAAGGACCTGAGGTACAGAGACACCCTTTGCTGAGCTACCAGACCTGCTGGAGACAGGAAAAACCACAATTCTGTCTGAAATATTTAAACTAGTCATTAACAAAAATAATTGTGTGGAAGATTAGTTACCAGATAACAGCATCTCACCAAAATCAGCTGGAGCTGTTTCAGGCTGCACCAACTATACTCACACCATAAAGTTTCTTTTAAAGCCACACAGATGTCTAAGATTTGGGTCCATTATGTGAATTATTCTCCCATCCTATATTGCACTTTATTTCTATTAGCATGAGTCCTTGCACAACCACACACAAACAGATTTACAGCTCCACATTCCCCTTCCCTGAGGAAACAGTGTCTCTGTGCAAACTCTACTTCATTGTCACCCACCATCACAACATGAAAACATCTTCCCAAAAGAGAAGGCAGAAGCTGCACAGAACATGGAAGCTACTCCCAACATGCAAAAATCATAGAAGTCAGTCAAAGTTTGTAGGAAGACAAGGTATACTTTATTATATGTGTATTTGGGAAAATATGGATATTTCACCAGCTCTTCTCTTTGAAAAATTCAGGCTATTTCTGAGTAACTCTGGTGACTCAGTTGTTCAAAATGGTAAAAGTAATGTTCAGTTCCTGTGACTGACACAGGGAGTGAGGCCAGGAGTGTTCAGAGAATTTCAGCTGAATGAGAAGAAACAGGAAATAGTGTCACTCAAGAACTATTGCTTTGCCAATTTGTCTCTCTCAAAAATAAAATAAGTTTTCTATAACAAATCACTTCTTAAAATTGATAGACAGGGGTTTTTTCCAGCTCTGTGGCAGATGTGGTACTTCTGAAACTACTCTGTTTGTTTTTCTAACTTTATATATATATAGACTTTTCTTTGGTTTGTCACAATGCAGAAAGAGATGCTGAAAATTTCCGTTTTGCCATGTTGAGTGTGAGAGAAGAGTTAATTCCTTTTGAATTGAAGCCCCTTGTTCAGAAAGGAACATGACAGAACTTTACACTTAAATTCTGAGACTCTCTCTTCTTCATCTTTTGTACCCTACCCACTGCAAAGTGTCCAGTAAACCAGGTTCAAAATACTATCAAAATGAGAAACAGTTAAAATAATTATTTTAATGTGTTTCAACCTACTATAGCACCAAGTACTCTTTGAAAGACCACCGTGTAATTCCAGGCTCAATACACATTCTGACACCCTCACCTGGTTTCACTGAACCTTTGTCTTATCAAGCCTAAATTCCTATGATTAAATAAACACGTACATAACATGGATATCCCACGAAAACACAATGACCTGGACATCTCAGCAGCATTTCCATATTGATCTTCACAATCCTGGACATTTTAAAATCAGACAGAAAAATGCTATTGATAGACCAGTACAGCAAGGACAGAATCCAAGACAAACAGATCCCATGGAGCTCTTTGGTTGAAGCAGCTACAAGCCCTCATTGCCAAAGAGTGGTAGAGCTGGACACGAGAGAGAACAGGCACAGCTGGAATGACAGAACAGTCCCAGCTGCAGCACATCAGGGCTGCACTGTAAATTAAAAGGCTTTTCTACGTAAAAAAGGAAGAGTTCTAGGGAACCAACAGAGCACAACAAGCTCTTCCTGTTTGAACAACGGTGTAAAATGCGTATGGATTTACACCCTGCACTTGCCAGGACACTCACAATTTTTACAGATACTCAAACAAGCCTGAGAAACCAACCTATTCCCTATGAAAATGCAGGAAAAACGGTTTGATGTTGCTTTGGAAAGCCAAGAAAAACAACAACGTAGCCAAGGGGAGCAGGGTGAGCTTTAAAGGAGTCTTAAGAGCGGGACTTGAGGCTGCTGTAGAGATCACACCGAGTTCTGTGTAAGCTGGGATAGACGGGTGACAAGGGCTACAAAGGTGACACGGGGCCCACGGGTGACAAGGGGCGGGCAGGTGACAGAGGGCAGACAGGTGACACGGGGCAGAGAAGTGACAAGGGGCGGACAAATGGCAAGGGGCGGACAGGTGACAAGGGCAGAGAGGTGACACGGGGCGGGCAGGTGACTCACCCACCCCACAGTGACACGATGCCCGCCCGCAGCGCATCTCCCAGAGCGGCCCCTTAAGGCGATGCCCTCTCGCGTTCCACCCGCTCCGCACCCGCTCCGCAGCGCTCCCCGCGCCCCAGGAGCGGCGGGCAGACCCCCCTCAGCCCCCGCAGACCCCCGCACAGCCCCGGCCCGCACTCACCCGCCCGCCCGCGGTCCGGAGCAGCCCCACGAGCAGCGCCCAGCGCGGCCACATCGCGCCGCGAGTGCGCGGGGCGGGGACGGGGCGGCCCCGGGGTGGGAGCGGCCCCGCGATGTGCCGGCGGTGCTGCCCAGTGCCCGCACACCGGAGCTGCTCACGGGAGGCTCTCGGTGTGTGGGAACCGCACAATCACAGAATATGCCGAGTTGGAGGCGTCCCACGAGGATCATCGAGTCCAGCCCTCAGCTCTGCACAGGACCATCCCCAAGAGTCACATCCTGTGCCCGAGAGCATCATCCAAACTCTCCTGGAGCTCTGTGAGGTTTGGTGCTGTGACCACTGCGCTGGAGGGTCTCTTTAGTCCTATTTGTGCTCCACTCATAGAATATCCTGAGTTGTATCATCTCCTGGACTTCACCCCAAAATACGAACTTAGCTTTCGCAGCATCCCAGCGTTCATTGATACCCATCCCAGCATTCATTGATACCCATCCCAGCATTCATTAGTACCCATCCCAGCATTCATCAGTACCCACCCCTGCTCCACTCGTGTGTCACACACTGCTGGGGTGGCACAGACAGACTTACTGTAAATTCAACCCTGCTCTTGAGAAAAACTCCACTCCACTAAGAGCTTCGTGAGCTTCAAGTGGCTTTCTTGCAAAAATACTTCTTCTGCAAAAATATTTCTTCTGTGACTGATACAGGTACTGAAATTATCAACAATGAAACATTTACATACCAAACAAGGAAAGCATGGCCATGGCTTAAAATCCATGTAACTTTTAATTCAGAGATTACCAGCACTGTTAAACAAACCAACTATTACACATCCAGCAGGTTGCAATGCATACGGTTCATCTAGAAAGCTGTTCCAGTAAAAAAATTAATTTCTATACAGAGCTGAGAGGTACAATTAGCTGTAATTGCAGAACAGCCCTGAACAACCACAGCCAGGTGAAAGTGGTTATTCAGTTTGTCGGTTCACAAATTGGTGTTTTCTAAAATGAAGTATGTAGTGAAGTTAAAGTAGATGTGGAAGAAGTCAACTGAAGTGACCAAGGCAGTGGAGCATCTGAGTTACATGAGAAATATGAGGAGATGGGAATTCGGCTTGGAGGCTGAGGAGGATAAATCACAAAATCAAGAATCACAAAAGCAACTCCGTTGCAAAAAACCAAACCAACAAACAAACAAAAACCACAAAACAACAAACACAAGCCACTGACTTCTGTAAGACAAGAACTAGTGGCATTCACTGAAATAAAAAGGCCAGTTTAAAAGTGTTAAAAGTCCTTTACACAGAGCATGGTATCTGTAATTTGTTGCCACAGGTGCTTATGGAGGAAAGATTGTACCAGGAAATTCAAAAGAGGGAAGAAAAACTAGTGGCAATATGAATGAATTGTAAAGCCTCAGACAAACTCCTGGACATCCTGATCCAATTCCAGCTGCTGCTGCAGAACTGTGAGGAATATTAGCCAGCAGATATTAGCCAGGCTGATGTGCTCCTCCTAACTGACATCCCTGACTGCAACTGCCAGAGATAAAATGTTGGGCTCATACTCCTAGACCGGCCCAAGAAGGTGTTTTTATGCCCTTATCTTCCTTTTGTGTGTTCTAAGAGAAGTCACTGCAGCTGCACAGCTGTTTTTACAGTACTTCATCCAGGGCAAAACTGCAAAGCAAGCAATGGTTTTTGTGGTTCCTTTTTTTGACTATTAAGACACACTTCATCATCTTGCTCATTTTCCATTGTCCTCTGCAAAAGTATAGTCAGCACTATTACATTTACAGTTACTGAACAAGCAGCATGAAAGATTCAAAAATAGCCTAACACAAGCCAGTCAACCACAAAACAGCTTTGTTTTTAAAGCATATGCAAATCAGTGTCACCCTGATGATGATGAACAATTCTAAACCAAGTAGATATTAACAATTTTATAGGAAATAATTGCTGTGCCTCTTTTTCAGTCTTTTCTTTCTGTAGAAAAATAGTTTTTCTTCATTTCCCTTTTTACAGGCTCCACACCGGGTTAAACCCGTAGTTCATCCAATAACCAAATATTCAGCGAGTTTCCCTCAGAAGAGGCCGTTTCTTACACTTAGTGATGATTTGAAGTAGTCAAAATCATGAATCAGGCTTCAAAACCTAGAAAGAATGGCCTGAAGTACAGTGGACTTCAATTAGTTTTATTTGCCTTCTGTTTTCTGAGCCTGTGTGGCACTTTTTGATCCTATTTCCTCAAAAAACATGAAGTCCACAATCCTGAGAGTTGTTTGTGCTAGGGAAAACTGAAGTTGTCATCACTTCCAGGCAAGAGTGTAGGCCTTAAGAAAATGCCAGATGTTGCAAAATATGTGACAAATTTGGAAGTACTTGAAGTAAAACAACCTATTCAACAATATTCATGGCTGAACCTCAAGCTTGACTTGGAATCCTGGCCAGAATTTTCATAGCTAATAGAAGTAGCCAGACATAGATTTCAATTCATTCCTTCATGCAGAGAAAGCAAGCTGTGAAACTTCAGCTGACATCCAGATGTCCTCTAAATTGTGCAGGTTTGATTCAAATTTGTTTCCAGCATAATATTGGGAGAGAGAGGGAAAGAGGAATATTTGACGTCAGCTATGAAGGCCAGCAGTTTGGATAATCCTGTCATTTGGTAGATGAAGGAGGTTCTAGCTCTCCTTGTTTGAGTGTGTTTCAGTGTTTTCCAGGAGTTTCCCAACAACCCAAGGCACTTGTCACAGAATCAGACTTAGTGTAACACTGGATGTTCCTGTAGCTCATCACCTCCATGGGTTGTCACTTTTCTGTGGCAGTGGTGGGGTGGTGGAATTCCTTTCCCTCCTCTTCCACAGGAACCATTACATCATTCCCTGGAAAGGACTCTGTTTCCTGCTCTGGGTAGTGCATTCCCAGCTCCTCTTCCATGGTTTCCTGGGCATCAACGTTGCTTTCACATCCTCTGGCAGCGCAGTTTTTGCCACCGGCCACTTCTGCAACGGACCCCACGATAACAGTGTCGGCCTTCATGATGTAGAGCTTTTCTGAGGAAGGAAAAAAGTGGTGCTGAGGGTAGTGAACAATCACTGCTGGCCACAGAGATGGCTCCTTTTCATGCAACATTTTTTATTAGGACTCTGGCCATTCCAGATCAAGTAAATTGAGCTTCCATGGGATGAAGCCACTGAGCTACGACTACAGGAGAAGGACAAAGCAGAAAAGGCAGAAGATACTCACAAAAGTCTGCTAGAAGGAGCAATTAATTGGCACCTAGATATAAAGAATCCAAGGTTTATTCTCCTGCTGTTTCAAGAAACAACACCACTTGCATTGAAAGCAGCTTTTGGGCAGGGATCAGCACTGTACAGAAATTCTGGGGTCTTAAGACCAGCAAAGAAATGACATTCTTTCCAGCTGAGAATAAACTGCAAAATTTTCTGGGATAGGTTTGAACTTTGTGTCCAACTTTTATACATCCTCCTTCACAAATGGTAAATAAGGCCTTTGCAATGGCTTGGACCACTGCACTTGATTCAGAAGGATGCTGCAGGTCAGACACTGCAGGTCACAGTTGCTTGGAGGTATTTGGCTATGGTAAGTCAAATCATCACATTCATCCCAATCCATCGCTCACAGTAAAAACAGAAAGCTCATTTCGTAAGGAAAGGTCAGCTCTTGTAATATGAAAAATAACACTTTCAAATAACCTCAAAATTGGGTTTGGAAACATTGCCAGAATGTCTCAGGTAACAATTCTCCCCCTCAGTGAGCTCCCTTGCCTGGCTTTATCTCTCACCCTGTGCCATGGTCAAAGACTTCATGGGAATACATGGGAGACACATTTCCAGCTATTACTGTGAAACCCAGAGAACCAAATGGTAGTTTAGTCATGTGAACTACCACTCCCACTCAGAACATCATTTCCCAGCTGACATATTTTTGGTTTTCAAATTTCTTCTGTAAATTTACATCTTTTGGAATGAATAGGAGGAAGAAGGGAATTTTCTGTCAGATTCATAAGTGACTAAGGCAAACATGAAAATAGGAAAGTGTTATATTCAGATGAATAGGTATTCCTGTGTCAAAGATTCTGGAGATTCAGCTCCAATCTTTATTAGGAGATTTGAACACTTTGCAGCTTATTAGTAATCTTGGAATGACATTATGTGACATGGTCGAAAAACTGGAAAAACAAGCGAGAAGGGAAAAAAAAGCAAGGCTCACCAATTCTGTTGTTTGTGTGGTCTCTGACTCGAGAATCCACAGGACAATCTGGGCCATTCCCACTGCTGGGTGTCACCTCAGCCACACCCCGATGGGGACTCTGTGCTTTTTCTGTGCTGGAGACCAAGTTATTGTTGGTTTCCAAAGGGAGGGTTCTGCCTATTAACTCCTTCTCTTCTGTCCCAGTCTCGGTGGTCAGGGGGTCCTTCTGCCAATACAAACAGAGAGCAAAAGTGGGGTGGATGTAAGAACACTGTGAAGATGGCAAGGATTCTGCAGAACCCTGCCAGGGCAGCCAGGACAACAGGATATACCTCACAGCACCACTGTCACAAGGAGGGAAGAATTCCAAAGTGCGTGACAGGTATGGGAACTTAAATTTCTTTGAAGCAGGTTCCTGTATCACTTAAGCCTATATTTAAAAAACAGTATTTCTAAGCTAAATTTACAGATTTTTGATGACATTTGCAAGAGTGTCCATCATCTTCACTGAAGAAAATATATAGTTTAGCTACCTCTTAGGTTTTGCAAAGATCTACCACGCTCCCATGGAAGAACAGAACAAGCCAGAGGTTGAACTGGTTTAACTTCAAAATGGAATTGCCTCAGCAGAACCTCAGGTAGAACTAACAAGCTCAGACTACCTATTAGGTGAGGAATTAATTACAAACAGTTCTTTAAAAGAGGAACCAGAATCTGAGAGAGGTCAAATGTTCCTAGCTCTGTTTGTGTTTCCACAAGGTTGGGAAAGAAAAAAAAACAAACACAAACCCCACAAAAAACATTGTAAGGTTTTGATATGTGCAGTTTAAAATTCTTGCTTATGTCTGACTCAGGAAGCAAGAGTGGAAGCTCCTCACAATTCAGGAATTAGCAATGACACTCTGAAATTATAACAGATGATTGACACCAGAGTGATTGGAAAAATTAATATCTGACAGACAAAGCAGGGACTGACAGACAAATTTCTCCCAGAAGGAAGAAAGGGCATGTTCATCCTGTGATTTTGGACCCTGTCCCATGGAATGCACCATTAATGGCACGAGACCAAACCAAATACTCCCCTCACAAGCAAGATTGGCAGCATCATGTTATTTAACACCACATTAAACCCAGCCCAAGACACGAAAGTAGCAAGTCCCAGTACAGCTCGTTGCTGCACCCTGATGATCACACATTGTAGAGGAAAGTCCAAGCAAAAAGCCTGGCACTCTGTGACAGGACATTTAAAAATAACACTATTTGCATTGGCCTGGAAAGGATCTGGTTTGGAACATTGTTCACACTTACTTCACATTTGTGCCCTAGGTCAGAACCTGCAATGGAGAGAGAAAAAATTACCAGAAGAAAATTCACACAGTCACAAGAATGTTAATATTTGCTCTGAAAGGCCACCTGGCCCTGCCCAAAACCACTCCACTGCCCAACCCACCTGCACCACAGTTTTCCTAACACTGAGGGCACCCTCAAATGACACAGCTGAGGTGAGCCAGCAAAGTGTTGCTGCCAAGACTGTGAGATCCTGCTCTGCCCAAAGCCCTTTGCATCACTCTCCCCACACCACAACTGGAATTCATCTGATGAAATGATGAACTGAGGAAACTTGTCGAGATAAGCACAAGACAGGTTTATTAAAAAAAAAAAGTTAATAACTTTCTACTGGATTAACAAGCTAGATCAGTTCATTGTGTGGTCAGATGAGTATTAAGGGGATGGGATTTTATATGTAACTTCATTAGATGATTCCAGGGAATGCTGGGGAAAGAAGAGAGGTGAGGAGGAAGGAGTATTCAACATCCTGCAGCACTATGAAGCATGATGAGCTCAGACCTACTATCTAATTCCACCCTGATGTGCAACTATTTTCAGTGCATCAGCTTGGAAATGCTGCACAGTAACAGTTTTTTTGTGTAATGCAAGTGAGGGAGAAAAAAAAAATCCATTTTGAGAAAATTAAGCTGCTTTAAATCATATTCCTGAATAAATCAGTATTAAAAGGTCTGATTTGTGGTGCTTAGGAGAATCTAACACAACAGAATAGATCTATCAGTGGGATAGATTGGGATGATGAGAGGGGATCAGCTCATTGGACAAACTGTGTGTGCTTTGGGGGATCTGTACAGGCTGCTATGGCTAACACACAGATTTTTGGCTTTTTTTTTATTGTCCAGAAACTAATTGACTGCTTTCCTGCACTGACACATCACCCAACCCTTCATATACTGTGAGAACAAAGTGCCATCTGGTGGCACCTGGTGACATCCGGACAGCGCTGGCCTTGTGCACGGCAGCAGAGACAGAGGTGTGACCTGAAAAACTCCCACTTTTTAAATTAAAATTCTATAGAATAAAGTTCCATATTAAAACTCTCCACTTATTCTTCAGAGTGCTGGTCCATCAGTCACTCACCTGGTGATTTGAGGCCGTATTTGTGTGCGATGACAGAATGCAGATGGGCTGAGAAAAGAAACCTTCCATTTAGTCAAACTCACCGTGGAGCCTGCAGGCTCTAACAGCTCTGCCACACCCACAGATCTACAACCAACCTACAACGTGCACATCCTGCTTTCTAAAAAGAGGGAATGTGGTTCCACAGGCACACCCCACATAGTTGACAGGTGAAGCTACAGAGAGCCAGTGTCAGTAAAAATCACTCTTCCTCTCATGCTCAAAGCCCATCCCCGTTCCCAGAACCAACAAATACTCACACAACACTTCAGGTATCATTTAATATCAGTGTCTTGCTGAGAGAAGAAACAGCTGGTTACCCTTTCCCTGCTCTCCATAAACTCACAGCTGCTTCAATGTTTCATATTTCTCTTGCCTAAAACCCTTATCTGGCCTGCCTTCACCAGGCTGTAGTGAACATCCTCTTCCCCAGGGACCTCCATAAAATTCTGGGATATTTGAGTTCCCCTTTGGCTTATACTGGGAGATCAAACAGCATCCCAGGTATCAGAGCTTTAAAAACTCACGCTTTCCTTTGAGGACGAGGATCCGCTTCTTGCAAACCTTCCATTTCCAAAAAAACAGCATGGCCCCAAGGAGCACTATCACACAGAGAACCACTGCCCAAAGCACTACACCTGCAGCACAGAAAGGGAGCACAGGAAAGGTTAAGGAAAGGCAGAGGAGGAGCTCTGAGTAGATCCATGTATTTGGACACAGACCCATGGACATCGTTTCACAAGTCGTAGGGGATTTGCAGGAAGTCCCACAGAAAAAGTGTGTTTACCAAAGATATCTCCCAATAAAACATGAGTTTTAATAAAACAGAGTAACTACTTTGTTACCTCCCATTGTCATCTCCCCCTTGGCTGAGGTGGGAAAAATGCCAGTCAGATCTTTCTCCTCAGGAGTTGAACTGGGGTTTTCAGTTGTCGTGGCACTCAGAAGGTCACCACTAGCAATGGTCACCAGGCTCTCCTCAAGCCTCCTTGGGTCAGAGTGATTTGTTTCATTGCTGAATCTTGTGGACAAAGGGCTTTGGGTGAGGTAGGTGGGCAATTGGTCCAGGCAAACCTGATCATGTGTGGCATTTCCTTGGCTTAGTGCCACTTTGTTTAACTTGGCACATCTGGGAATGAAAAAGAACGGGTGTCAGTGCTACAGAAACAGCCATGGTACAAGAGAGGAGCATTTTCCATGTGGCAAACATCCCTTTGGTCATATTTGTACCACCTTCAATTATTGCCTTCAGTGTCAAAGCCATTAACCTTCTTCTCACCCCCGTGGCATTAATTCTTGACCTGGATGCAAACCTGACACTCACACAGGGGTAATATTCCACTGTAAACTAAAAACAAGGCAAGAGGGATTCCTTCCTTCCCTCCCTTCACTCCAGGGGCTGTGCAACAGCCACAGAGAGAGGCTTTCTAACCTCTGCTCCTGGCCCCAAAGCTATTCCAGTGCCTCTAAGATAAATTTGTATTCTTTGCACCAGAAGTGACGTGTCCCATTTCATCCTTTATTAATTTCAGTTATTCAGTCAGTCACATTAAAGAACCAGGGACTTACTCCGTGTGGGGCTTGCAGGTGTCAGTGCTGGAGCTTTGGTCAGAGAAGGTCCCAGCAGGGCACTCTTCACAAGTGACATCACGTGTTGAGGTGCCTGAATAAAAACAATGAGTGGGGACTGACCAGGTCAAGGCCCATGGCCAAGAGCAGGAAAGATAAAGTGGAATTCCTACCTCTGACCCGGACCCCAAAGCCGGGCTGGCAGGGGGTGTGGGGCCGGCACCGGGCGCAGGTGTAAGGGAGGGATTCTTGGCAGAACAGGCCCGGCCTGCACTCGCAGACACTGCTGGAGTTGAAGGAGCAGGGCTCCTTCTCCACAAGGTCGAATTCTGGGGGCAAGAAACAGAGGCAGTGACAAAGGATCACCCTGCAAGGGAAATGCAAAAGGGGCCAAAGCTGAGCGACACCAGTTCAAAGGCTCAGGAGGCAGAACAAGGTGCTGGCACTCCTCATGAGCCCAGAATGGTTTGGGTTGAAGGGACCTTAACGCTCATCTCGTTCCAGCCCCCTGCCATCCCATCCACCTTCCACTCTACCAGGTTGCTCCAAGCCCCATCCAACCTGGCCTTGGACACTTCCAGGGATGAGGCAGCCACAGCTTCTCTGGGCAACCTGTGCCAGGGGCTCCCCACCCTCACAGGGAAGAATTCCTTCCCATTATCTAATCTAAGCCTACTCTCTGTCAGTTTAAAGCCACATGAAGGCCACTTAAGTCATGAATAATTGGAGAAGCCTTTAGACAGTGGCTTGTAATATAAGACAGAAAGTAGAATCCAGACTTGGATAGCACTGGAGAAGAGAGTTTTTAGGTAGTCCCCAGGTCACACAGGAAGCCACACTGATAATGTGCCAAGGTGTCATTCTGCTCTCTAAATCAGTAACCAAGAATGGATAATTCTGCTGCTGGAAATTCTAAATTAATAAAATACAAACAAAGTGTAAATAAAATACATAGAGGGAATATAATTGTGAGGTATGTGTTGGGGAAAGCAAACCTTTTCTGCATAAGACACAGGCATCACATTGTGGCTTCTGGCGTTGTGTGTTCACAAATTGCCCAGGCCCACACCTCATGCAGTCTGCAGCTGGGTTCTCAGGACAAGCTTTCTTTTTAACAGAGCCTGGAGAAAAAAAAAAAATCAACAAATCAAAATATGCAGGACACCTGTTCAGAATAATGGGAGACAACCACCCTGAAGTGTCTTGTATGCTCCCTTACCTGTTAGACACACTACCACAGACATTTGGTTTCTCTAGCATGTTTTTGCCCTTCCCATTTGAGCATGAAGGGCTCACAGCTGTCCTGGGGTGGGACATTATCCCAGCTGGAATGGGCTGCTGCAGAATGGGCACGTGGCAACTCATTTGCTGACAGAAAAGACCACCAAGTCTGCAGTGAGGGCAATTGTCCTGCCATTTCTGAGTTCCCAGGTGATTGGTTTTCATGGTTTCCTCTTTCCTTCAATTCAAAGGACTTTTAGAAAAGCTGCTCTTCCTTTGCAGTGAGCAGCTGAGTTTGTAGCAGATGTGAACAGGTTGTTGCTTGGAGGAGTAGTGGAAGATTAAAATGAAAAAGGATTCTTATAACTTTTATTGTGGAGAGGATGTGAGGAGATGTCAAAGACTGATATGAGGACGTAGCCAAGGAATGAGTGACAAGAATCAGCAGAGGTGAAATGATGGATACTGGTGGCTCATTGATGTAAATCAGATCTTTTCTTCTCACAAACCTCACTATGACATCTGTCATGACAGGAGCTTTGGCAAAGAATGGTTTTGAAGGAGAAAAGAGCTTTCCTTGGGACTGCCTCTGAGTCACAAGCCCCCTCTTTTCTTATTTTATGGGACCATTTTCTCCATCCCTCGCTCTTGTTTACCTGTACAACTTCTGAAGGAAGGTGTGGCCAGCAGTACAGGATGTCCCAGTGGGAATCCTGATGGAACTGCACGCAAATGCTGGCAGTCAAACACTAAACCCCCCTGCATTATCAGAGCTCAAATAAATGTCAGAAATTTCCTTTAAGAAAAACAAAAGAAAGAGAACAGATTTCTGAGAGAAGATACTGATGGTGGTGAAGCACCAGAAAATGCCCCACCCACTGAGGGGTTTTTTGGCCAATAGGGGCAGTTTCAGACATTTCCAGAGCTCTTGTCTCACCAAGGTGTTTCCTGCTCTGACCTCGTGTGCCTTTGAGTCACAACCAGCTTCTAGCAAAGCTCTCAGTGTCCCCAGACAGGGGCTGTTCCCTTCCTCCCTCACGTGAGACACTTTCTAAACTGTTGTGACTGTGAGAATAATATCAGATTTTCCATACCTTCATTTTGTACTTTTTGTCTGTGAGCAGAAACTCACTGAGTCTGATTTCACTGTGCTATTTCACACCCTGAGGCAAGCTGAAATGAATTCTGCCTATTTCTGGCTGCTTCAGTGTCCAGTGAAGTGATAAAAAGCACATAAAAATTCTGCCAAGTTCTCGAGTTTGCTATTTGTGCATTATTTGCATGCACAGGAGCAGGATGGTGGAGAACAGAATCACATCTAGATTCAATTAGACAGTGATTCATGAAATTGCACTTTTTTTTCAGGGACAAAACACAATTCTGCAGATACACAGAGTTCCTACTGTCTCTCCAAGGAAGACTCCATGTAAATTTGATTATTTTATAAACATACTGACCTGAGGGACAGTGGTAACAGCAGCTTTGTGAAGTTTCATCATAGAACCAATTCCCACGTGTGTCACAGGAATGAGATGGGGTTAATGATGTCTAGAAAGTGAGACAGGCAAAAGACACAATCAGAAAACAACTAATTCTGTACTAGGGCAGATCCCAATACCTGTCCCAAGCGATGGCAGCTGCAGATAGTAAGGAAAAGTCCACAGCTTTTTGAAACTTCAAGTATCCCCAAAGCAATTAAATTAATGTCTGCATCTCCTTTATAAATCTTGCAGCAGTTAGCAAAAAAAAAAGGATAAAAATCATTGTCCCAAAATGGTCCCATGTTCATTTGAGATAAGGATTTTTTAAGGAAAAGAAAAACAATCCCTGACCTCTGTAATGGATTTTCAGCTCTGTGTGCAGTAGAGTAAAAGGTGGTGCCATATTCAGCATCATCTGAACCCAGTCAGACGGGCTGTAATGCTCAGAGATGACTCTTGGCAGCAAACAGGTTTTTCTGTTATTCATGCAGTCATAATGCTTGAATTTAGCAACCTGAGGATGTGTTTATTATAAACCAATTAACTGTTTCATTTATCATTTAAGGGCAAGTCCTACACTGAGAACACAAGAGGGTTTTGCCTTGGAAAGAATGCTGCAAATGTTCTCACAATGAAGCTCTTATTCAAATAACTCATCCCACTTCTGTTGTGAGTGAAGGTTTTCAGAAATAACCTTTCGTTACTACATAACCGATACTGGTTTAGTTAAAAAAACCCCACCAAACAATAGTTCTAATATTGGCTTAGAAAATGAGACTCGGCTACGAATTGGAACAAGAAACATTATAAAAAGACTTTGTTTTTGTATGTCTGGGCCACTGCATGCTCTGGGAAATCACGGTGCCACAAGTGTTCTGATGAGAAAATCTGATTTTTGAATTTGGCATCTCCCTTAATAATCCCCTAAAACTGTTATTATCTGAATTTCATTTTCACTTTTTGCTAGAAGGCATAAACAGTGATTTTTTTTGTGAAGAATCAATCAGCAGATTCCCCTGAGATTTTCCGACACGATACTGGTAGAGCAGTTAAATATTTCAGAAACTCTCCATCTCACTTTCTGCTGATGAATTCCCCACTGGGCTTTGAAATAAAACCTGCTGCCTTTGTACACTGTGCAGAATCTCACTACCTAACTCACTTCACAGCCTGGTCTGTTTAACACACAGAAAACACAGAAATTATTTAACTTCCATCAGAAAACAGGAACTTTCAGTCAAGGAGGAAATGAACAGAAGGGCAAGAAATAGAAACACATTGAAACCATTAAATTTCATTGAGCTCCACCAGTAACAGAACTGAGAATGTGACACATCTCTGCATCACCCCTGGGCCAGAACCTCCCTACAAGTATTTTTCCTGTCTGACTGCAGAGGAAGAGCAGAAGGCTCTGCCTGCTCAGCCTGACTCAAATCTCATTTCCACACGTGCCCCCGGTGTTTTCCTGGTCTGAAGAGGAAGCCCCAGGCTGCAGGAAGGGGAAGTGGGATCTCCTCACTTCTGTGTGCAGCTCCAGCCACTGAGCCCCAACTTAGCAACACCAAACCACCAGCCACCACACAGGGGGTCATTCCTGAGTCACCACAGTGATAAGAAGTGAATTAACTGGTTTTAGAAAGAAAATTTAAGAAGCTACAGCATCCTGGCTGTAGCCAATCAGCCTGGATTGGATTCTCTGTAAGACCTGTGGGAAGTCACCACAAACACATGATTTTCTCTTCCTGGGCAACCAACTCTGGCTGCAAATGCAGCTGAATTTTAAACCAGGGTGGGAACAAAGTTCTTGAATTATTTATGCAGCACAGAAGCTTACAGTATGTCTGTGTGTTTCTGGGTTTAAATAAAGGAAGAGTGCCTGTGTAAAAGGATGAGGGAAGTGCAGATTTTAAAAAAGTTACCTTGATCTAAAATATGGAAATCAGGAGATCAGGGTTAGATTCTGCTCCTGGATACAGCAGTGCACATTCTGATTATGAATTTGACCTGATGCCAGTGCAGTGATAAATTACTGCATGACATGGATACCACACAATTTATGAAAATATACATCAGAGAGTACTGAACCTTTTTTCCCCCCTCTCCACAGGAGGGCAGCTCTATCCTACAGCTACATTATACACATCATCCACACCTCCCCAGCAAATGCTGCTCTCAGGTATCCAGCACAGCCTTGTACTGTTCACTCAGCCAAACCCACGGGGCTCTGCTGTGAAAAGAATTCACTTTAACAAATCATGGCAGGATTTCTGTGGCTGACAAACCACCTTCTGAAGGCACCACCACTTCCAATCCAAGTTACCTGCAAAATGGCTTTAAGGTTGCCCCCTGTTCAGTACGGGTGTTTCATGAGTATAAAAATTAGCACAGACCCTTTCTGTGATAAATCACACACATATCAGTGCTCAGCCTCAGTCACCATGTCCCCATTCTCGTCAGCTTTTCCCCTCTAAATCCTAAAGCTGTTTGACTCCTGCCCTGGGTGGGACAGGTCTCTGTCAGCTGTGATGGGAAACCTCAGAGCCATTATTTCTGCATCTGTGTGTCCTGTGTCAGAGTGGGTTTGATCTGGGTTGGACATGAGGATGCAATGCAGAGGTGATGCTGCTTTGTGCCAGCTGCAGGGGAACAGAGAAATGTGTGAGCTGAGAGGAAGGGGAGCTGGAGCTGCAAACAATCCCCAGTGCAGCAGAAAACTTCACATCACAAAATTAATCTGTCTACACCTTTTGAACAGATTTGAACAAGTCATGAGTCTCTGTCAGATGAGTAATTTGCATCTGGTTTTGCTCTAGTACAAGGAATTCTTCAATTGGATTCAGTGTGCTGTTCAACTGGAGCGAGACAGAGACTGAATTTCACTAATTACTCCTGCATGCTCTTCAAATAAAGGTTTGGGATTTAGCAGGAGCTGGAATACATGTGGTGAAAGGAAAGACCACAATTGCTATCCTACTTGGACTGCTCTGTGTCAGCATCCCCAGGGATCCCCTGGTTTATTGCTTTCAGTGACCTAACAGGCCAACTATTTTTTTTCTTTTCTAAATGTGTTGCAGATCAAGGCCCAATTAAATAGAGCAGACATATTAGATACAAAGCATTTGGGTTGTTCAATGCTTGCTTGTGAGACTTTGTTTCAGAAAGTAGGCTTTTTGTAGCTCTTCTCACTTTCCTTGGTTCTACAAACACGTTTGCTATTCCAAATTAAATAATGGTAGTTGTGAAGATGGTGCTGAATTCAGTGGGCTACTCTGCAATTCAGTCAGGACAAGGTTTGACTCATTTATTTATGGCCTTTTGAGCTCATAGAGAAAAAGTGATGGTGAGGCAGAGCACGAAATTTGCTACAGATGAGCTGTAAGTCAGGAAGAAAGCACATTACAGTAAAAAAAAGACTTCTACCAGCAGTGGCTATTCTAGAACTGACTAATACTGCAGCAAAACAGTTAACTGCCTGTCAAGCTTCTAGCCAAATTCTGACAGTACTGAAGAAGCTGGTAATCTAAGGCTTCAAGTTGTCAAGCTCCATCTGTTTGATAATAAAGACATTATCAACAAATGAGAGTTCACTGAATAGGAAAAGAAACAAAACCCGAACTGTGGACTTAAGTAAGGTGGAACATGGTTTAAAAATATGACCAGTAGGCTGTTACTAGCTCACATTAAATAGTATCACCTGTACTCCAGCATCAGTAAAAGCAGGTATTTCTGTGATAGAGGCAATGCAGAAGGACAGTAAAAGCCAGTTGCTTATCTCAGCTGATGATTTTGCAGTGAGTCTGCACGTTGACAATGACTATCAAAAACCCCAGATTTTCTCACAGCTCCTTTCATTTTGTGAACAGAACACCAAAAAGTGACATCAACTAGCAAAAATATCATCCTTTTTTTTTTTTTCTTTTGCCTTTCTCCTAAAGCAGTTTGCATTCAGGAGGCCAGACAAGTTTATCTGAATGCCCTCCCAAGTACTCCCCAGGTAAGCAAGGACTACAGGCTCCAATCCCTTTGTACTTCAGGAAGGAGACAGTGGCAGGACAGATAACGAGGGGAAAGTAGAGCAAACTTGCCACGTGGGAGGGGAATTTACAACTAAAGACACAAGAGCAAACTCCTACTCTTACCAAAAGAGCCAGGAGGACCTTTTTCAAACGCTTATGAACAGGATGCAGGACTTGGTTATTTTCAAAGAGCTAATTGTAGTCAATGTCTTGTAAAATACCTCCTGGCAGCCCAAGTGATGTTTTACTATTCAGACAGACATGTCTCTTAGGTTAATATATGCTCATATTTCCCCAGCAAGGGAAAACGGCCCATTTCAGGATCCAGCACAGGGCAATTACTCACCTACTTTACTGTACCTGTGCAGAGAGTGTCTGTGACTGACCTTTGTTTTTTTTTAATTTGAATGCTTCGGTGTTGGCCAGGGAAATTACCTGGATTTATGCCAGATGCCGAGGGCTCGTTGCCAGGTGACCCTCGGGAGGAGGGGGGTGAGTGGCAGCGCCGGGGTGGCAGCAAAGCCACAGGAGCTGATACGATCTGAGCAGGGTGCTGGTGTGCACCTACAGCATCACTGAGTGCAGCTGCAGGGCTGGGGCTATTTTAAGTGATTTTGATTCAGAAAGAATAGTGGATTCGTGAGGAAGTCAGAGTCGGGGGGGGGTATAAAGAGGAAGGTCTGTTATGGTTTTGCCTTTACACCTTTCAATCTGCCTTTCCTGACTCGCCTCAGCAGAGTGAGCAGCAGCCTCTGAACGAAGCTCTGCAAGGAACGTGCCTTTCACAGAGCACACAGGCAGAAATAAAAGCCCCCCACCCCAAGCAAACCTTCCCTCCCTCCCTCCCCAGCTGTGATGTGCCTGAAGCTGCAGGAACTCCAGCAATGCCAACACGGGGATGCAGATCCCAGCTTGCACCCCCTGCTCCTGCCTGCAGAGTTCCCAGAGAGGGCTGCTTTGCTTTATGCCTTTATCCCCTGACAGCTCTGCTTTATGCCTTTATCTCCCCACGTTGCACAAACCCTGTGTTTGTGACACCCACTCTCCAAACCCCAGCCCTGCAGCCCCAGCTGCCCCCAGACCTCCCCAGGCTCCAGCATCCTGAGGGGCTGCAGGATCCTGGTGCCTCCCTGCCTTACCTGCAGGGATGTCTGGATGTCCTGGAGAAGCAGCAGGAGCTGCAGTGCCAGTGCCAGGCTGCAGGCAGCCATCTGAGGTGGTGTTAGATGTCCCTGGCTCCCAGCATTGCAGGTGGCACAGCCAGGTTGCTCCTTCTGGAAGCTGAGATCCTTCCAGGCTCCAGCCCAGCCTTGCTCCCTGTCTGTTCATTCAGTCCAGAGCCATTCCAGCTGTTCAAGACAAGCAAGGGACAGGCTTTGAGACTCAAGCGAGGTGAGAAAACAATTTAGAAAGGAGGGAGAGGGGGGGCTGCCCTCAGAAGAAACCTAAAAAAAGAACAAAACCAAACCGCCTCAGCGCCGGCTCCCGGCGCCGTCGGGTGTCTGTGGGTCGGGTGTGAGCACCCAGGTTGCACCCCGAGGCTCAGGGCTGGCTGTGCCGGCGGCTCCTGAGTCATCTGGGCTGCCCTCAGAGAGCACTTCACCAACCCAAAGTCTGGGCCAGGCACGAGGCCAAGCCCTGCCCCATCCAGCCGCCAGTTTTTCGAGAGCCACGACCGAGCCCCGGGAGAGTTCCCAGTAAGAAACACTCGTTTTCTCAATACAGTTGTTTTGCTCCTGTTTGCATGAGCGGGTGAAGGCTCACAACCAGCAGGGTGACTCCACTAAGGTTTAGGCTTTATATATTGCCACATATTGCACATGTTGCCACTTAAACACCAACATATCACAGACCATCCTCTTGAGAATCCTTCCCTTTCCTCCAATCCCACTGGAAATAAATTCCTCCTGCTGACAATCATCCCTAGGTCTGCTACTCACCATTTTGCTCACTTTCATTTGTCACTCTGGATGGTTTGTGCTCTGGTGCCTGGAAAGATTTCAGTTGATTGAATGTGTCATGAAGCCTTCTTATCTGCCCTAGGAGTTTTGTCAGAAGTGAAGGTTAGCCACTTCAAAAAGAGCAGAGTGCCTTGAAAACCTCTCTGAGGTACACAGGAAAATCATGACAATTTGAATTCTCACACCTCTGGGTTCGGTTTTAATTTTTTTTGTTGTTGCTTCTCACCCTTATCAGCAAAAAGAAAACCGAAAGAAATGAGGGAAGATGGAAAGTTGGACAAATGCTTATTTTACTAAAGACCCACAGCTACCCCACTGCCTCACAAATGAGCACCAAAGGTGAGCATTCCACAGGGACCCTGTGTAAATATCTTCTGTAACTCATAGCTGTCACTTTTGACTAACTACCTGGATTTCTTTCTCCAGAATGCCACTGTATAAATCCCAGGCATTTTCAGCACATTGCATGCAGTGTATTTGACACATAACTCCACTCTCCTCCCTTCCCTCTCTCAGGTAATGCTCAGTTTCTAAGCTCTCTCAGCTATAAAAGCTGTTGGGGTAGATGTGCCTTGAAGGCCTAGAGACAACTAAGTATTTGAATGTCAGTCAGAGTATCACATTCTTGTTTTTCCCAATTAAATAATGAGCTAGAAAACACCTTAATCTTCTGTAATAATATGCCATTAAGCAATTCTCCCAATCTATAAATGAAGTTTCAAATGACACAATGATCAGGGCAATTGGTGGGCTCCGTTTGTCTTTTTTTCCCTCCCCTCTGAGTATTTTTTCTCTGCTCAGCCCCTATCTAAGCTCTTCTAGCAAAAGGACAGGCACCAACACGAGAGACAGCCTGGAAGGTTTGAGTTCCACTTCAGAGGTCAGAGTATCTGATACAAAAAGTAAGTATGTGAGTACAAACAAACTGTTTGTGAAAGACTTTCCCAGAACTGGCAACAGGGAGAGTTTTCTGGCCCGTTTTCCAGATGAAGTAAGACTGAAACAAGCACACTGAGCATTTTGTACGTGTACATATATGTATATCAGCTCCTTTTTAACGAATGGTGTCAGTAATTTTTGAACCCAGTGGATAACTTCAATCAAATTTGGCTTAGGAGGTGGTGCCATTAAGATTTACAAGGTTTCATGGAAGGAGATGACTTGGATGAAGGGACAAGGTGCTCCCCTGAGGGAGAGGCTGCAGGAGGAGATCAGTCCTCCTCAAAGGAAAGAATCCACTCACACGTCTAAAGTGAAACCAGGCTTCCAGCTGCCATTTTTCCTTCAATTTCTTATTCTCAAGCTCTTGATTGAACCAGATATTTAAAAGGATGGGAAGTGGAAAGGGCTTATTGTTGCTGCTGTTTTTTCAGAAAGGCTGGTACCTCACACAGTGCTGCCTCGGGTCTGTAATAAAAGAATAACAATGAAGAGGTTGTTTCATGGGAACATCCCAGCCTGCACTTCCAGCTGAATGCATTAATGTCAGACTTTGCCTGTTTTGATTTGAAATACAACAAAAGGGGCTTTCCAAAGGAAGCCCTATTAGTAACTGGAAGAAGCACCTCCATTTTATAACAAGCCCACGCTGCTGCTCTCCACACGTCGGCTGTGGTTCCTAGAAGATAGTCCTCTGTGTTAATGTGAAAACAAAAAAAGTGCAGAACAAACAGAAGCAAACAAACAACCCCTATTTCTCTGGTCTTCCATCAAGGGACAATATCTATCAGAGAAAAGGGGAAGCCCCTCATGAGCATGATGTTATTATTTATAATGTTAATTTGATCGCACGCATCTGTTAATATCTGAATCCCTTTTTGCTTTGGGTGTTAAAAGGGAGCAATGCCCCAAGATAAGGTTCCTTGGCAGTTTGTATTTTAACTTATTTAGTTCATGCCAAGCTTAGGTGTTTTCTGCATGGGGTATCTGATCAGTGTGAGCTGCTTGGAGCTGAGAGGGATCACAGAAGGTCCTGTAAGTCAGCAGTTGCTCAAGTGTCACTTGATTCCTGGAGCAAGAGGATGCAGAGACCCAACTAAGCCACGAGGGAAAGTCTCCACCACGTGCCCAAAGCATCCCTTCAGCACTGCCTGTTCACTGACCAGTGAGAGCCCAGCAAAGGAAGCAGCCATGGAATACTCTAGAAGAAGTACTGAACACATGTGCTCAAGCAAAAGTACTCGTGCCATTTTCTAATTTTGAAGTGGCTGATTTTAGTCTCATGTTGTACTTTTAGCATGGTTTCTTCTGGGTTTAAATATGTATGTTCAGTTAATATGGGTCCAGCTGTATCAGAGAAAAAACACACAGAGAGAAGTGTCATCTCTAAACACTTGTCCAACAGATAAAAGAGACCACGAAGTTTGAAAGGTCACGTATTAAAACACCCTGTCTAAAATCTGTATTTCAGTGTCTGTCAGTGTTGCTATTTGGAGCATTGCAGTATGCTGAGAAAAAACATCACCAAATTCTTGCTCCTTAGCCAGGGGGAACAAGACCAGACTCCATGGGTTTCAGAAGCACCAGGAGGACCCAGCAGGCATTGTTGGGAAAAATGCCGTGCACTTTGGGGGTATAAATTAAACAAGAGAAGAGAAATGAAGGCATTTCCTGCAATAAAAACCACAGAGAATCTCACGGTTAAAAGAAGGAAAATTAAAAAAAAAAATGAAGAAAGGAAGAAACCCAAGAATTACTTTCTTGTCTCTTCTTGCATTATGGGGGAGCTCTGTCCCTGGGCATCCTGCAAAGTGACACTGTGGTGACAACACACAGGAGCCCAATGATTTTGGGCATTGCAAGGGAAGCCAACGGACTGAACTTCTCTGGAAATCTCTCCATGGCCCAAAGAGGACAGGCAGGAGGGAGGGCAGCACTGGTGCGGTGTGATCTCACTGAGACACTTCATGAGGTGAGGGAGCCATCAGGGTTTGAACTGGCTGCAGTGACACAGCATTGAAATTACACTCATTAAAAGGAATAAAATCTCAGTTATGCCAAGAATGCCACAGATTGGCCAAATTCTGTCCCTCTACTCTGCCACTCTGGTACTGATATTTATTTGCTGGCACATACAGTTCTCTTCTTCTCAGTGTTAAGTCTTTGTCAATCCATTTAATTTTGGCACTTCAGCCACTCTGCACTGTGTTAAATACATTCCAGGTGCTCTTGAGAACATGACCTGCAGAGCTGTATTGATTCAGCAATTTACATTGGTATGTTTGTCCACTGCCATCAACAAGGAAGGTGGAGTGAAGTTCTTGTTTGTCCACTTGTTGAAATGTAGCAATGGCTTAAAACAAGAGTTACCAGCAGGAAAAAAAAGGTTATCATGTTAATAATACAGATAACATAGCTTAATTTTCAATTAGATTTCTTTTGCAGATGTCATTTACATAAATTTTATGTGGATAACTAAGTTCTTATAACTGTTTTTGTTATCTCAACTAATACTACTGCCTTACATAAAGTGATAAAATAACTAATGTAACAAAATAAATGTGTATAAAATGACTTTTTCTGGCCCGTAGTAGCTTCAAAACTAAAGTACATTTTGAGTCAGACTGAAAAATGAGAAGAGCTGACAGAGAACTCAGTTCTCTCAAGAAAGGCTTGGCCTCCATGAAGGAAACCAAAACCATATCACAGAATTACTATGCCCACAGGCTGGGAGAGAGAGAGAAATGACCTTAGATGAGAGATCACATCATGTCTGTACTTTCAGTAATTCTGACTACAGCTCCTGGAGGGGTGGGATAGTTACACATGGTCATTCTCCACAGGCAAAGCTCTTGATTGAGGGAATTGGGAAAGCACCAATGGTTTCAATTCTCTACATTTAAATCCAAATTTGAAAATAAAAAATGTTTGGGGAAGATTGGCCAGGGGGTTAAAACACAGGAGTGGGACTCATTAGTCCCCAGTACTGTCACAGATGTTTTGGATAACTCATATCCTTTCTTGATACTCTGGTTCTCCTCATCTAAAAGCTGAGTTTAAAGCTTACCTAATAACAGAAGCAAGATGAGATTTCCTTTGCTGACACAAACAAAAGAAAGCTGGGAAATATCAAATAATTTTTGTGAAAGAAACAAATGGGAAGATTTTCAGGATGCATTTTTTTTCAAAGAGTGTGAAACTTTCTTTTTTAATGACTACAGCTGAGCATCTCAACCCTGACAATTTAGGGTGTTATTTTCCTCTTCCCAGCAGCAAGGTTTTGCTCTGCAGAACCAATGGAATACACCAGCTGAAGGAGAAAACCAAGTCCTTATGTTTGGTCTGCTACTACCCAGGAAACTGGTGAAATGGAGACTTTTAACTCCAAAGAGAAGGGGCAGAACTTCTGCTGTGTTTTCAGACTCGACACACACTGAAAGCAAATTCTTCTGGGCTTTGAAAACAAAAGTTCCAAAGAGATGAAAGGCCCCAAAATCAAAGTCTGCAAATTATTCAGAAAGTGAGTTTGTGCCACACACGGATGTTTCACCTGAGGGTTCTGGAGACAGTCCCTGCCTGCTGTGCTGATAACGAAACAGAAGCCAGAAATCAGCACTACACTCATTCAACACTCCTGATATTAATTCTTACAATGTACTGACAGCAAGAAACACCTGATCCTGAGATATCACCAAAATTATCTTAAAATAGTCAGAGAGAGCAAACACAAACACCAGTGACAGTCTGACATTGGTTCTGAGAAGCAGATGGGAGCTGGGTTTTAACTACACATCTCTGTTCAAACCAATCACTAATGCATCATTTACTGTGTCTCATTTGCCTAATTAAGCAAAGCTGGATTTCCCACCCCATGAATCAGTGTTATAGACATGCAATACAGTCAGAAAGGGGAACTAAACCACCAGCTTTACCATCAAAGCATCAGGCAGAAGAGAGCTGACACAAACGAGCACACACACACTGAGTCAGCCTTCAACGGGAGCCACAGCTGCCCAGGTTAAAGCAGCACGTTCCCAAGTGCCAGGAATGGGAAAAAATATAAACCCAGGCCAAGCCTACCTCCAGGAACAGGGGACAAGCTGTCCCAGAGCCCTGTGCCTGCACAACAAAGTCTGGTATCTGCGTTAGTTTGTGGCTTAGGACAGCCCTGGATATACTGGGACGTTACTGGGAACTTTTCCTTGACACATTTTGAGCCCCAGATCAGCAAAGGTCTCACCCATCTCAATTCTGCTTTGTCTCCTTTCCAGACACCCCCATCTCAAAACGTTCCCATTTTCCTGACCCACAATCCAAACAACCCCAACACGCCCCCCCCCTCCAGTCCCCCTGGAAGTGCTGATCCCAGCACTGGCTCCATCACTGTCCAAGTGCTGAAGCTGCTTTAACACTGGAGGAAATGCAGTTTTCCAAGCAGCAAATAGATGAGTTCCTTCACCATGCACCCCCAGGTGACATGTCAGCCACCCTCCTGCAGGGAAGGGTGTGTTATCTGGGATTGTGCCACACACTACAGGACAGAGTGACTGTGCAAAACCTTGTTACACTATAAATCATTCCTGTCTCCACAAACTGCTCCTCACAGCACGGGGCTGAAAGGCAGCTGGTGCAGGCCTGGGAGTCACCACTGCTCCAGAGGCCGTGCAGTGGAGAGATGTGGGGGGGACATGAAGTAAGAAAAAGGAAAAGGTTCCACAAACAGGAGTGTTTTCAGTCTGTTCCAGCTTGCAAAAAAAGGGCAGGATCACAGAGGCCAGAACCAACCCCCTGAGACAAACCTGGGTGAGCAGGGGCAGCGTCACCAACTCCTTTCACTTGTTTCTAGGGGAGGAAGAGTCACAATCTCACTTCCATTGCTTTCACAAGAGACTGGATGTATTCCCAGCTATCAAGAGACATTTTGAATTCACCTGGTTCCAACCTGCATCCACCTGACAGATTCACATCAGTTACTGAACCTGCAGCAGCTCCTTTTCTGTGATAGAGTGGAGCAGACCTGCTCTAATTTATTTCAGGATAAATTAACAAAAGGTTAATTAAGGTTTAGTGTTTTGGGTTAGGCAATGTAGTAAAAATGTTGAATTTGCCCTATTCAGTTTAAAACTTGGCAGCTAGTGTTTTATAGTCACTTGATTAATTTCTTTTAAAATTAGTATTTCCAGTAATGGAAATCACATTGCCACTTCCATTCACTTCACCCTAGAAATGCACAACCCAAAGCTAAACTGGTCAGTCCTGCTTTCATTTTCCATTCCAAGTATTACATTCCAAGACTTCATCACCTTGCAATATTCCTGTCTTTGCTTAAAAAAGTTTATTCACACATTTGACTCAATAAATAATGTATTTGATATAAAAATAACAGTGAATGCCAAGAAGCTGCATAAACCAAATTCATTCTCTCAAGTCAGTCCCAGAAATACATTTGAGGAAGGAATTTCTGTTTCAGAAAATTCAAGGTAAAATAAAACATCAGTTTTATTGGTTTTAGGCAAGGAAACTAAGATCAGTCCATAAAGTTCAAACTAATCATACTATGTAATGTATTTTGTTTTGGTACAATTTAAAAACTCCAAAATGTTTTTTGGTTTATCTCCCAACGAACTCGGAAAAGCAGGGCCAAGCACAATTTGCAAGCATTTTAAGGCTTTAACATTATCTAGCTTGTTAATGCATAAAATCTCATGTTAAATCTCAAATTAAAAATAAAAATCTCAAAAATCTCAAATTAAAGTAACATGTTTTTTCACACTCATAGTTACTCTGATGTACCCTGTAGCTACACACATTGCACTGAAAATAAATAGGATTTTTTTAATTTTAACTAAATTATTGAGGAACTCAAGTTTAAGGCACTAGAAACTGAAGTGTCATGTTTCAAACATTCGAAAATCACCATATTTGCGTCACTTCACTGAACCAGGCCCTTCATAGGCCAGTTCCCCCCTGGCACTCAGAGCTGAGTTACAGTGGTGGTGACTCAGCTGAGGTGGCAGGACTGCCATGGCTGTCCCTACTCATCCTGGGCACATCCCTTCAGCCAGCCCCAGGTGGGACAGCTCTCAGGAGCAGCTGCAAGAGGCAAAAAAGAGAAGTGAACCAACACCCTGGACTGTACAAACTCCCACGTGCGTGCACTGGTCACCACACGATGGTGGAAACTGGGGGGAATCTGTTCCAAGGTTAATTATTTTATCCAAATGGAGTAGGTTTTTTTTATCCAGTGTGAGTTGTTTCCACGTGCTGTGCCCTCCCCTTCTCCTGGGCAATTGAGTCCGTGGTTCACAGTGTTGAGGTTAAACCAGCAGCCTGGTTTAACCTGGGAGCTGCTCTCCGGTGTCCCCTCCTGCTCTGCTTCCTCCGAGGGGAGGCACTGCTGGACCTGGGACGTGCCAAGGGGGGCTCCTCAGTTCCTCTTGACACTCTGGGCAGCGAGTCCTGGAAGCCAAATGAAGAGGATATTTATCAAAGAGTGCCACAGTGACTTTTCTTTGATGAAGACTTTTTGCCTCTTGTCCAGCCCCGTTTGCTGTTTTGTCCCCGTGCACACCAGTCGAGAAGAAGGAAAACGTTTCCCAGTGGTGATAAATTTTCGTTTGCTCAGCCCTTGATAATCATCAAACTCTTTAGAGGTGGGACAGCAATTTCCACCTGTGCAATTCCCAGCATCTCCAGGGACTCTGGAGGCTGTGCTCACCAGGTGAGGATGGGGAGAAGGCCTCTCTTCCAGGGAAGCTCGCAGATCCAAACTGCTGAGCCTGGGCTTGCTTGGAGGGGCAATGTTTTCCCAGCCAGCCAGGCAGTGCTGTGAAAAGAGATGGAAATGCTCTACCCTTTTTTTATCTGTTGTGGCCTAAATGTAGTTCTAAATAATAACTTCTGCACAGGGAAGCTTTAGCAAATTATTAAAATAATTAATTAATTTTTGAGTTTTATATGACTTAACAGGAAAATGATGAACTCTCTCATGAAGCAAAACTGTCCCTCTCTTCTTCCACCTTTCACTGGCTGGTTACTTCTAAGCTCATCTCCTGCTTTGTGAACTCAAGCACCCGACCTCTCTGAACCTGTCTCAACTGACTCATCCGGTTCCCTAAACCTCAAAACTTTGTTTCCTCCCACCTCTTCCCTGGAAATCTTTAGGCCAGGGCCAGATTAGCAATACTGCCTAGCACTGGTTACTGGCTGGAATACAGGACCAGCTCTACAATAACAGTTTGAAATCCACCCCTTGCCACTACTGATTACACTGTGTATGCTTCATGGGTGCTCTCCTTCCAGACTCCCTGACACCTGTGGAAGGAAGCACAGGCACTCTAAGGTGTGGATCACTGTGTTGAGTCAGTCAGATCTGCCCCAGAAGGACTCAGCTCCACGTGGTACTTTCCTTGGTGCAGTGTAAAGCACTGGAAATATGTCACACACTCTGTGCCACTTCCACAAAGGCACTAACTCAGAACACACCAATGGTTTTTCTGCCTCTGTGACACAGGTCAGAATTTTTAGTGGAAACCCTGCCAGGGCAATGAGTTAGAGATTTGCTTTCCCTCTCACAGCAATGCCCAGCCTGGGCTGTGCCACCAGCAAGAACAGCAACTCACCGAGGGTAAGGCCAGATCATCTGCTGGCTCAAAGCTCCTCCTGCGATGGGCTTTGTACTTGTGGGCAGGCAAAAGGGTATTCCTGGGAATGCTGACCCTGGAACCACACAAGGGAAGTAAGTGCCTGCACCTCTGACAAGGCAGAGGAAATCTGCCTTCCCCACTCAGAGTCCAAGGGTCTAATCCCAAAGTGAACCAAGCAAAACAGTTTTGGATCAGGGCATTAGACACTTCACGCCCACGTTCAGATTCTGAACCAAATTTGGATTAAACAGGCACTTCTCATTGACTTCAAAACTGTTTGTGCTCATGGAAAAGATCAGTGAGGAATTTTTAAGCAAGATGTGTCTCTGCCTTGAGAACAGCAACCTTCCACAGAGCTGTTGTGATGCTGTTTTCTCCTTCACCTGATCAGCTTTTTCTTCCCTATTGTTTCCTTGAGTTCTGCATGCTACAAGGCAGTAACTCCAACTTACCTGACATGGGCTGGCTCTTCCAGTGTCCCTGGGGGCTGGTGGGCACGTGGGATCCTACACACAGGGCAGGCAGATTCTGGATCCACAGGGACAGTGAACAGGCGCTGGTTTAACCGGTAACAGTAAAAACCTGCACAGAACAACAAACCACCAAACTTCATATTCCTTGTTTGTCAGAAGGTTCCTCAAACCAGCCAACAAAGCTGGTTCTACCACAGTGCCACACCTGCATTCTATAAGAAGAGCTGCCTTTCCTCAAATATCTTTTACATTTCCTGTTCCCAAGTAAGTTCCTAAAAAGCAAAACCAAAACTTCAACCTCGACCTAAAAACAGAACATTAGCCAACTGCAAGAAACCCTGAGAGATTAACATGACAGTGATTGAGAGAAGACTCAAGTGCCTTTGGAGTAGGAATTTGAATCTGGTTGAAGAGCTGTAGCTGAAAATTACATTCTTCCTTGTCTTGCATCATGTGCTGCTCTCTCAGGATGACAAAGACTGCACAGTTGTTTTTTCACAGAAATTGGAGTAGGAAGAAATGTGATCTTACAGTTATGGGAACTGGTTATCAAATCTGGTTCTTGTTCAGGAACTGTGCAATCCAGAGCCTTGGGCCTAAAGAAACACACAGAGAGATCAGCTGGTGACAGAGGGGAGGGTCCTCTGAGCAGCCCTGCCTTTTCCAAGCACACATTTATGCCTGGGAGGTAAATAAAGGCCCTCAAAGCCACCCTTACAATGTCCCACTCCAATCAGACCATGGCTCTCATTACTGCATTGCTGCTCCAGCCCTTCCCCATCCCCACTTACTCCAGGTCCTGCTCATCAATACAAGCTTCTCTGTTGGCCTGTCGGAACTGCTGCAGCTCAGCAAAGTATTGCTCAGGTTTTTCTGTTACTGAAGACTTTGTATCAAGGAGCCCTGAGAAGGCCAAGGAGAGAGGAAAGTTCAAGGGTTTATCAAATTTTGGAAAGCACCAAAGCCAGCCTCACAAAAAACAGTCAGAACAAAATAATGGTAATGAGAAGAGCAGGCCACGATGTCAAACCACAGATTAACTGTGTGGTGTGGCTTCCTCACTTCATTCCAGTTATTTGGTATCCTCCCTGACCCCACTAGGCTTTGCCATGTGCTGCCTGGATTCCCATACCACTGCCACCCCACCATTCCAGGGAAGCACAGGTCATGTCTGGACAGGAAAAAGCCTCTGACAGAGCTGCAGCCCCTCTGCTGAGACTTTCTGCACAGACTCAAGGACAGCAGTCCCACCACACCTCAACTCAAAGGGGTCATAAACTGTGTTTTAACTCTTCATACCACCCCATCCTGCTGAGAGCTTTGCTCCAGGGTTAGGATTCACCTGCAATCCAGTCATAGCCCAGGAAAGGACGGGCAGACCAGCTGCCCACTGGTGTGGCATCTTCTTCAGGGTCAGGCTGGAAAGTCACATGATGAGCTTTCTTCTGGGAAGAAAACAATGCATAAAGACTTCTTAGTCATTCAGCAGGACATTCAAAGGTACAGCTGATGAAACAACTGGCAACTGCTCAAATGGGACAGCTGTGACTTAGTTTGAGGCTTGATTCTATCTATGCCTCTACCAGTGACTAGCTCAACAGCCTTCTCAATAAATAAAACAGAAAGAGGGGACGTGCCCAGGTATAAGGCAGGATTTTTCAGAGCTTTAAACAAAATGCTGAGGCCCCTCAATGCACATCCCCAAAGATTAGGCAGCCTGTGGTGCCCTGGAGGACGATCAGGGGCAGAGCCTGCCCTTCACACCCGGGGGAACAAACTCTGGAGCAGCAGCACTGCCCCTGGCTGTTCTCCCTCAGCACATGCAAACACAGGCAGTCTCACAGTCAAGTGTGACAGTTTTCTGGTCTTCAGTTCACTGGCTGAGGAAAGCAGGGCCTGAACAAACTGCCAACAGCCCCTGGCTGCTACACCCAGGAACAGTTCCAGCCCCAACTTCCCACTTACACAGTGGGAACAGGGCAAGTCATGTTCTCCTGGCCCTTCTTCCCTGTCCTTCTGTTGACTCGGGAAAATAAGCAAAGCACTGGTTTGACATTTACCTTCAACTCTTTGGCCCGGGACGTCACCAGGACTGATTTAGGCATCGTGGGCTCTGTGCTGACCATGTGCTGCTCACTGGGCTCTTCATTTTGCACTCTGCTCACTGATGGGCCTGGATGATTCTTCTCATGGAAACCACGGAGCAGAGCAGACTGTTTTCTGCTCTCTCCAAGTCCCAGGAGGAAGGATTCCTTCTCTGGACTTCCTCGAGCATGGCCATCCCCATCCACTCTGGAGGCTTCTCTGCCACATGGAATGATTGCAGACACTGGAATAACACTCTTCTCTTTCCCAGGATAGCTGGAGTCCAAACCTGCTGCTTCCTGTGCCTTTGCTTGTTGTTGCTGTACCTCTCTGTCCCTGCTGCTGTGTTTAAGAGGTGAACTGAGGGCTGCTCTGGCTGTGTGTGCTCTGGGTTCCACAGACACCACCACTCCAGGGTCAGCTGTGGCCTTCACAGCATCCACCTGATTCTCCTTCTGCAAGGACAGAGACCCTCACAACACATGGCATCAGTCACATTACAAATACCTTTCATTAGGACATTTCACTGACTAAGAGAAAAATTAACCTCTCGTTCTAGTCTGCTCACCCCTTTAAATTCCTGAGGGATAAAAAGAAAAATCCTAATGTTGATTTGTGAGGCCTTTTTATTTGGAGAAGAAAGAAATCCACTTCCAGCTAAATGCAGCTTTTCCCAATTTCAGGAACCACAAAACTTTCAGCCCTTGTGCTTAGAAGAAACAAAAGGATTTTGTTCCACAATGTTCATTCCTATTTTAGATGAAGAAACCTGCATGTCTTAGGCAGGAACTGAATTATTTGCAAGGAGAACAGACTGAGACCACAGGATAAACAATAACAAAGGGCAGCTACTTTTCTAGCAGACTCCATATTCCACATTCCACTTTCCACCAGTTCCTCCACGTCCATATGACTCCTTTCCCACACCACAGGCAGAGCAGCTGTCCCACAAGGCCCATTTGCTTCCCAGAATTTCTAGCACAAACACCACACATACCCCTCTCCTGGGCCAGGGGACAGATCCCTCAGCAGCTCTGTGGTGAAGAACAGATGCTGGAAGGAGTGGCTTGCTGGGAACTCTTTTCCTGATCTCCTCCTGCTTTGCTGTGAGCCTTTGTAGAAGGTCCTGGTTGGCCTGACGCAGCCTCTTCAGAAGCTCTAAGTCCATCCTAGACAACCCTTTTCCTGTAAAGCCAGAGGAAGGGGGAACCACACAAATGGAAGAATTAAGTGAAGGAGCAGACACGGGAGAAACCACCTTCAGGGGATTTTTCCTAAAACCCACTTACAGCTGTTGAAATGTTGGAGTGTTGATCCCTTCTCCTGAGAAATCAGCCAAACCAGCACCACCTCAAGCTTCTCTCCCATCAGATGGACCATCAAGTATTTTGCACTCAGGAACTGGGATCTGACTGAAGAGAGACAAGAAACTTTGACAGAGGAAACAGTACACATGAAAAAGTCACATCAAAAAGCTAAATAAGACACATTTGGTTCAGAGGCTGTTAATTAGGATATTCTTATGCAATTCTGCTTTAATGTTCTTTTGAACATTGAAATTTGTATTTTGATAAACCCAGGATGTTCATAAGTTCAAAATATGACTAATCAACATGAATGCATTTGCTACATCCAAAAGAAATACTGAGTCAAAACTGTCCTCCATAGCCCCCAGGCAGGAAGGCTCCAAAATGCTCAGTTATGACTCAGGACAAGGTTTTGGGCAATTCCAATCCCATAAATTAATTACCTTAAGTTCCACAAGGGGGGTGAAAAGGAGTTAATAGATAAACAAATAAAGTCTAGTTTGACTGAAAAGCTGTCACACTGTTCAACGTCTTTACAACATCACAAGCTCCTCTAAATTTGCAAAAAGTGGATTTTTAAATAAAGCAGAAGCAAACCCTAAATCCAAACTCCCACATTGTTTTTGACCAGATTGATAAATTATGTTCTCAATAAAAATGGTTTTCCAGGACCTTTTGTTCTAAAAGATCCCTAAACTCTTCTCCAAAGCTCATCTGACTTGTTTTTGTGTTTGCTCCCTTGGCAACTGGACACGGAGAATGAAATGTAGCACAAGGGCACTAGGAGGAGTGGAGAGCAGCACTAACAAACTACAACATATCTTCTTGCTACAGGAAATAAGTGAGGGGTGAGGTACGGGACAGAAAATAGAAATATCACTCTTGAGGCACTAAATTTGAGAAAACTTGGAAAAAACCAGTGGTTCTCGCAGCCTTCACAGGACAAAGCCAACAGCTTTGATGAGCACCCTCTCACCACTGCTCACCAGGAAGCAAATACTCCGAAAACAACATCGGTCAAGGGACTTTCTGGAAGGGTTTTACCAGATGAGGTCCACTCTTGGCACAACCTACAAGAAGCTCAAGTTTATGAAAACCTGCTCTAGCCTGGATCCTCCGTGAGGAGGAGCTTCGCTCCCCGCAGTTAAAGATCAGGACGGTTGTGTCGGGAACCGAGGACGAGGTTCCTGCGCGGAAGTCGTTCAGCCCCGCGGGCTGTTCCGGCGCCGGTTCGGCTCTCCCGCGCCCACGGGGAAGGGGAGGGAGCCCCGAGCATTGCAGAATTCCCCTCCCTCTTCCAGAGGCCGGGCTGGCAGCGGCGAACCCTCCCTCCTCCCCCCGCCCCTCCCTCGCAGCGCGGGGACCCGCCCATCCCGAGCCTGTTCCGAGCCCGTCCCGCCGCGTTCCCCGTCCCACCTGCGCCGCCCCCGCCGCTCCGGTGCCCGGGGGCTCCGGGGGCTCCCCCGCCGTGCCCGTCCCGCTGCAGCCGCCGAGATTCCCCCGTTCCGGGCCCGCCCCGCGGCGCTCCCGGCATGCGCAGGGGAGGCTGCCCCTCGTACCGCCTGAGAACCAAAGGCACTGACCGAGACATTCGCTGGCCGTTGCTTCCTCCAGTGTCCTCAAGAAATCGTTGGTTCAATGCCGACAGTTTTAGTGCGACTAAAACTTTCAGTATCGTCGGTGTGAGGATAACACGCAGCTGCCGCTGAGGGCTCAGCGGAGACCTTATTGCTCTCTACAACTCCCTGGTGGGAAGGAGGAGCCAGGCGGGCATCGGGCTCTTCTCCACCAGCAGCAGGACAAGAGGGCACGGCCTTAAGCTGCGCCAGGGGAGGTTTAGGTTGGACATCAGGAAGAAATTCTTTCCAGAGACAGTGATCAGACATTGGAACGGCTGCCCAGGGAGGTGGTGGAGTCACCGTCCCTGGAGGTGTTTAAGGAGAGACTGGATGTGGCATCAGTGCCATGGTCTAGTAGGCAAAGTGGTGTTGGGGTCAAAGGTTGGGCTTGATGATCTCAGAGGTGTTTTCCAACCTTGTTGATTCTGTGGTTCTGTGAAAGGCAGTGGAAGGATTGTAGGAAAATTTATTTCCGAAGTCGAGAACACTGGACTTAGGAGAACATTAATCCTAATGGCACTTCAAACACCCTTCTCAGGCTTTTACAATTTCTGTCCCCCCCTCTTGGGGGGCCTTTGTCATGTGTGCAGTACTTATCTTCTTCTCAAGCCAGGGAGTCTTTCTCTGGAATGCAGGAGGAGAAAACATCTAAAACTGTCTCTGGGGAAAGATGCCTCTTCTAGGCAGGAAAGCTTTCTTAAGCAACACAAGCTCTAATCTCCTCCCTATAATTCTTCAAGAAGGGTTTTCTAACCTTACAATGAGTCTCCTTGTTAACTTTCAAAGTAAGAGCACAGAAGGTGGTCACTGGTGTCAAACATGCACCTCAGTACCACATGGAACACACCTGAAATAGATGTACTTACACTGGAAGACTTTGTGTCACAACACTCAGGACACGTCAGGAGAAATGTTTTTTCCAATTCATTTTTATTTTGGTTTCCATTGTTTACAGCACTGTTACAGGACTAATTCATGCAAATTCATCACCTTAAATACAGCAGAGAATAAACTCGCTGGTAAGAGTATTTTGAAGAGCTCCATCAACGTAACGCAACGGGAAAAGTAGCAGCAATAAGATAAAAGTGCATTTAGCTGACCTTCTTTAATGGGAGTTTGGGGTAGACTGTTTTTGGAATTACCTGTTCTACAGATTAGTTTAGCCTTCCTTATTAAAATAAGAAGAGAACAGCCTCCTCCTGATAGTGTTCATTCCTCCACCACTCTGAATTAAAGAAGTGCAGCTGTAATGTGTTTCAGAGGAATCCAGCTCATAGGCCTGTCTGTTAAAAGTTTGATTCTCTACCATTCAGGCTTCTAGGGACAAGGGTTACACACATATTAAAAATTCTTCTCTCCCTTGTTAGCAGTTTTGCTTCTGAAAAACTCCAAGTGGTTCTTTCCCCTGTTCTGCAGGTTGTGTCAGCTCTGCAGTGAGAACACACCACCCAAAGCCGAGCAGCATCAGAGGCACACACAGCACCAAGACTCCGGGTTCCAAGAACCCATCAATCTCTTTTCCCTTTACAGATAAGACATTGGCTTAAAGATAAGCTCATTTATCAGATTTCCCCTAAAGGCCTGCTGAAGAGATGCTGACAGGTCTTCAAAAGCAAGGTCAGCATTTCAAGTAGTCACGAGCTGCTGAGCAATAGTACATCACCCTCTGCCTCAACCTGGCACTGACAATTTCCTGGTGTATGAGGCATGTGCTTAATGTTTTAACTCAACAGAAGAGTACCTAGCTTATTACTGTGTATGTGATAGCCTGAGAGACCAGAGATCCAAATTAATTCAAATAATACCTCCAGCAGAGTAAGGGATGATCCACTTACTCCAGTGTACTTCACCACGTGCCCAGAGCACAGACTTCCAGAGGCAAGGACTCAGTTTTCTTTCTTGCTCGTTCTCAGATCTGATCCAAGCTATATTTATGTCCTGGTGGCTGCCTGAGGAACCCAGCCAAGGCCAATGAAGCCTTCTGATAAAAACAGCTTTTCAGTTTGAGCTGGAGTCGAGGCTGTCTACTGGAAGGGAGAGGTTTGTTTTCTTTCTGCATTCTGGACACGTAAGAGTCTCACCACCAGCTCCAATACAATCAAGATACTTCAAGTCTTACTGCAAATCTCAGAACAGCCTTACCTAAGATGTACTTACTGACATTTCACTATTTTTACTCCCTCAAGTATCAGGCAGCTTCTTTCTGGAACTTCCATGACACAAGAAACAGGGGACTTGTCACAGGCACACCTGAGCGGGAATGAGAAATCCTAAGGCCATTTTCAAGGGAAAAGTCTCATTGTCAATAAGAAGAACACCCCACTGCTCAGTAGTTCTAAATGCAGTCCATATTCTATGTGTGTGATGCTGAACAGATTTAGGTTGTCACTAACCCTAGAACTACAGGATCTGATTCTGGATTCCTCAGGCATTTTGTGGGCAACAGAAAGGTTATACCCAACACATGGCAAAATACTGAGCCACAAAGAGGAAAAGAAACATTCCAAACAACAGAGGAAACATATCCTACTACTCCTAAAATCAGTGAGAATTTCTTCTCTATCAATTTCAACAGGAAGAGACTCAAATCCTTACAATTCCCAAATCTTATATTCCAAATTCATAACTGCTTCAAGGCGAAACTCAAAAACTCATTTCATCTATTTGCAAATAAAGAATGTCTTGGGGAAAAAAAAAATTGCATTAACCCATTCTTGCCCTGGCATGAACTACAAGGGCCACAACTCCCCCCATCCCCAAGGAGCTGTACCTGCCAGCTTGTTCTCATACTTTTAACAGAAGAGAAACATCATCAAATCCTATCGCTGCCCGGCCTGCGACATCCTGTGGGAACTCTGCATGAAGCAAAATCTCTTACAGCGTGTAATCCACATGCTGTTCTTGTGGCCAGAGAGTGGTAATGGAATTCCAAAGGCCTGCTTCCAGAAACACAGCTGTGCATTTCCAAAGAAAACCCACATTCATTGACTTAGTTCATAAGGCAGTTCATTACATTCTGTCAACTGGCTTTTACTTCCTTGTTTTCTTCCTCAACAAGCTGCCAAATTATCAGCACTATCTCCTTCACAGGAACTAGTTCTGTCTTTGCAAACTACTTGTCCGTGACAGGAAATGGGCCAGACTTATTAAAGAGCTCTTAAGAGGAAGAAACTAACTCCAAAGCCACTAAGCTTAACAAAGCAAAACCTTAATCCCTCTTTCTCTGGAAGAGGACTGGGTTTTGTTCAGAGGTTTAAGCATACTGACAGCAATAAACCTTTCTATGAAGGGACATTGGGATTCTGTGTCAGGTTCTAGAATAACAGAATATTAACCCAGGAGACAGGCCTGTGTGGGCTATAAATGCATTGTGAAACCACCATCACATCTGTGTGCATGGGACCTGTGTTTAGACAAACAGCTGCTTGTCACTCACACCCCCACCTGGGGCTTGGAACTCAAAAGCTCTGTCTTTATGTAGTAAAACAAATGACTCCATAAAGAAGTGTCAGAATAACTTTTTAACCCGATAAACATTTTTCTTGTTTGCTTTAAATTTGTTTAAAGCAAAATGAAGTGCAGTAAAAGCCCCCTGCAAATGTATGAAGCACACATTCCTCCTGAAGTAGCCTGGTCTCATAGGAAGGAAAAAGAAGTTATTAACAGCTAGTGTTTAGAGGTGGGACACAGAACGGGGAAGCAGAATCCTATTGTTCACACAGCAACTGGAAACATAGCAATAGGCTCTTGCTCATTCCCTTTAGGGAATTCCATCACCCACCATGTTCTCTGCAGTAATTAAGAGAGCACTGAAGGGAAACTTTTTTTCTCTCCTTCCCACACTATCTGCTTTGCTGCAGGTACTGATGTGTGAACATGTTGAGTTCGCTGTCCAGCCAACCTGCTTTGTTCCTGCAAGGACAGAAAGTCTTTGTTAGGTGAAGGAAATAGCTCTTAAGCCACTCAGAAAGAAGTGCCACTAAAATGAGTACCCAGCAAGGCACGGAGTGCCAGAGATCCACTCCAAAATGCTGTTGCCATTCCTCAGGTCAGGAGTGCTTGCCTGCTAACAGTGCCTAGGCTTTGAGGTTCAAACTGAGATCCTGGACACAAGTTCACATCAATCTTACTGTGTAAGTAAGGAATGTTTGAAAAAGTCTTCCTGACAGCCTTTGCAGTGTAAAGAAATCAGCACACAATTGTGTACAAAGGTGAGGGTGAGACTTATTTGCATGATTTTGTAACAGCTGAAGGAGTTTAAGGAGTAGAGGACTGTATGTTTTGATACATGGAAAGGAACTGTAATTCCAAACAAATCGAAAACAGGAAGGAAAAGATATTTTGTGAAACAGAAGCTTTAAATGACTGTCCATGGGAAAGTACCAAGAGAAAGAGAACACGAGTTGGTAGGGAAGGGTCTGCACATCAAACACTATGACAAAACCAGAGTGAACTCAAAACTACATCTCATCTGAACATCCCTGGGGCAATCACAGGAAAAACAATCATATGGAATAATCAAATCTCACCTGAGCAGTTTTGCTTTGCTCTGCAGTGAATCCAGAACTTCAATTTTTTTATTCATGGCAGAAATTTCCTGCTCAAGGTTCTCCCGTGTGACATCCAC